GCATTTATTTTTGCCATACATCATGGAATTTTTTTTTTTTTATGGACACATCATCCTCTCCCACTAAGTTATAAGTTCCTTGAAGGCAGGGTGATATGGTAACCTTTACCCTCTCTATAGACATTGCTTTTAGCCTAGTGTGTGTCTGGGGAAAGGCGACTTTGCTCAAATGTGATTGTGATTTGTTGGATACTTAACAAAAGCTATGTTTGAAGGAGTATATAAATGGTTTACCATAAATAACGTTTCCTTTTCAGTCCTCCAGTAATTCCCTACATTCATGTGGTTCAGTGCTTATCTCCTGAACTTCTTTTTGGCGGGGTTGGGTTTGTAATCAGTCTTTATTAAGTACTTACTCTGTGCACGGTACTGGACATATGAGTTCAAACTGCATGCTTACCCTCAAAACATTGCCTTCCGGTAATCAGCTTCATGGTATTCTTATTTTTATTAAAGTTTCATATTCATCTTAGAAGAACTGGTGTTCAAATCACTAGAAAGACATGTAGACATGGTGACAGTTTGAATCCAACCAGAGGAAGAGACCCTGAGTCTCTCGGCCTCCTGGATGTGGTAGTTTTGCTCTGAGAAGAGACAGAGGAGTGGGAATTCTCTTTTTCCCCTGTTGCTTGTTTACCTGTCTACACTATGTTGAGTAGTGTATGACCCTCTGTACCGTGGCCTCTGCTCTACGACATTCGATGACTTCTACGTTGTGTTGAATTTTTGCTCTGCTGCTAAGTCTGTACCTTCCTTTTCCTAGACACTTTACCTCTGTTCCCCTTCAGTTCAGTAAACATACATTGAGCACCTACTGCATGCAAGGAATGATGGAAAACATTGGTTTCCCAATTTATCATTATATGTTAGATATATTTATAACACATAAGATATATTTATGTATAATCTACATACACATTTGTAAAAGTATATTTTCATAAGCAGAGTAGAGTAACATATTATAAGAGGGTTAAGCTCAAAAGTAAATACGTTAGGGGTGCTTGGGTGGCTCAGTCAGTTGAGCATCCGACTCGATTTTGGCTCAGGTCATGATCCCAGGGTTGTGGGATCTAGACCCTGCTTAAGATTCTCAATCTGTCTCTCTCCCTCCCTCTCTCTCTGCCTCTCTCCCCCTCTCATGCTCTCTCTCTCTCTCTCTCTCTCTCTCT